AGACGTTAAATTTCTTTTGTAATTGTTCTTCTACTAAATTTTATATTCTAGGTAAAAAGTATTTCCAATATGAGAATAGTACTGGGAATGTGAGTGGGTGTCAAATCAAATTAAATGAGGTTGCTAGATAAGAAATTTGATATAAGTAAAAAAAGTGAGATTTGACCAAAAGAGAGCTCAATGACAGGGTCTCTCTTTCAATTAGAACACTGAGGAGCTGCTAAGTGGCTACTGCCCAGTAGCTATCAGGTTTTCTCATGGAGACAGGGATGTTAGGGTGCAAACCTGCAACTACACCAATCGATTAGAAGTTCAAGCTGGGTGCTGAGGCTGGAGAACCAGTTGATTGTGATAGATATCAGAGATTGGTGGGCAGATTGATCTATCTGAGTCACACACGTCCTGATATCTCTTTTGCAGTGAGCGTGGTGAGTCGCTACATGCATGATCCAAAGAAGGGTCATATGGATACAGTGTACCCGATTCTGAGATATTTGAAGAATACCCTCGGAGAAGGGCTAATATTCAGGAAGAATAAACATATGAGCATTGAGGGTTACTGTGACTCCGATTAGGCTAGCTGTGCTGATGACAGGAGGTCCACCTCAAGATATTGTATCTTTATAGGAGGCAACTTGGTCTCGTGAAAGAGCAAAAGCAGTCAGTGGTGGCGAGATCAACAGCTGAAGCAGAGTATAGAGCTATGGCCTTGGGAGTTGCAGAGTTGTTGTGGTTAAAGAGTATGCTGGTGGAGCTGAAGTTGGATCAAGGAGCAAAGATGAAGCTGTGGTGTGATAACAAGTCAGCCATCAGTATCGCCAATAACCTAGTGCAGCATGATAGAACCAAACACATCGAGATCGATAGGTTCTTCATCAAAGAGAAGTTGGACAGTGGACTACTGGAGCTAAGTCATGTTTCAACTAAGGATCAGGCAGCAGATTGTCTGACTAAGGGACTTAGCTCAGTAGATATGATTAGAGGATGTGACAAGATGAGTTTAGTGGATATCTTTTGCTCATCTTGAGGAGGAGTGTTGACATATTAATATAGTTAGGAAGTTATTTGTAAGATTTGTGTGTAGGGGCCTATATAAGCCCATGTTATCTCATATATGAAATTAGGGTTTCAATTCTATTCTTTTATTAAAAAATTACAAAACTGTTCTCTGAAATATTATAGTCTAGATATAGAAGAAAGATTCTTCTCTATCTCATAATCATGGCACGTGTGTGTAATTGCCTTATAAACACATGTTTGTTATGCGGACAATTAAGCTTTTGAAGGAAAAAAATTATTTTCAATAGATTCCCGCCTTCATTAATATTGTGAGTATTGACACAATTGTAATAATTTTGGTTAAGAGACTCACAAACATCAGAAGTAAAAGCTATTTTATTAGCAACAATAGATAAAATAGCTTGAATGAATGTTTCTAACGTCTGGAGACGTTAAATTTCTTTTGTAATTGTTCTTCTACTAAATTTTATATTCTAGGTAAAAAGTATTTCCAATATGAGAATAGTACTGGGAATGTGAGTGGGTGTCAAATCAAATTAAATGAGGTTGCTAGATAAGAAATTTGATATAAGTAAAAAAAGTGAGATTTGACCAAAAGAGAGCTCAATGACAGGGTCTCTCTTTCAATTAGAACACTGAGGAGCTGCTAAGTGGCTACTGCCCAGTAGCTATCAGGTTTCAGAACCAACTAACTCGCTCTGAGCACGTGACTATGTTAAGCAATATACCCGATTGGGCCAAACTCCACCCAAAAATATATACTTAAGACTATATAAGATCTATACATACATCACAATATCCATCGTTCAGACAATATCACAGAATATCACATGAATATCACATGAACACAACAGATTCATCAGAAACAAATATATAATACTGCAATATTAAACAAGTCCACATATAATGCTGATAGATAAGTATCACAAATCTGATACATAGATGTCCAACAATAAATACATAAACCTAGATGCCACAAGCTATAAACTCCACTACATCAGTAGAATAGGTAATATGTACATAAAGTTAGTCCACAAAGCGGAAAAGAAGCAATAAGATAAACTGAGATGATAGCAAGAAGAACGCTTGATACACTGGAAGGTCCATCACTCCTACTATTAGGACTTATTGGGTGCAAGCGTGTCAACATATGGTATGATAGATTCTGAGTTCGCAACTAGTGTGTGAGACCAAGACGATCAAGAGGCTGTCTAGCAAGTGTGCAAAATGAAGGGATGGTATATGCTTATGTAACAAATATTATGGATGCATAGCTTGTGTAATTGCAAGAAAGAATATATAATGGTAGTAGCTTATAATACATCATGATCAGGTAAACATGCATCACAGAAGCAGAAGTAAAACTATAGCTGACGGATGAACAATAGAAAAAAATAACAGCAATGTACAACAACAAATATCATAAGCGAGTGCGCCTAGATCCTCAAGTGTGATGCATCACGTAGTGTGTATTAACTATCACATGACTTTTATCAACTCTTAGTTAGGAAATCTTTTATTAGTAATGTGTGTTTGGAATGCCCACAGGGAACTTGATCTTGTTCGTACTTAGTCTTGGTTTTTGTTCAAATAAACTCCTTTAAAGCACTAGCGCTCAAACGCAATCCTAAGCCGCATATTCTCTAATAGATATCCATTTCCCCTCGATAATTAACATACATGAATTTTTTATTACTTAATTATGCATGATATGTTATGCGCTATGCTCGAACAACTCAATCTATAGAGAACATCCATGGATGGCTATCCTCTTCAACTGGGTTTCCAGAGCTCCTAATCATGCTCGTCAAACATCAAACATAAGTCAATCATGACTTACTATACACAAATACTTGGTCATGGTTTCTGAATTATCATACGTTTATACTTGATCAAGTTTTGATTGGTGGATGATCATGAGCCCACACTCACTAGATGCAATGTATCCCAAGTCGATAACTTGTTTTTGCTTTATCCTACTTGTTCTTGATTTGGTATCATGAGGGACACGCCTTATATTCAAACACATAGCAATCATCGTTATCATGTATAATCCACATTTTGATGCCTAATCATGCATACTCCTAGTTGTTAAGTTACATCATAAATGTACCAACACATTAAAAATCCATGATAGTTTCCTAGTATCAATATGCATAATGTAATGGAATTCTAGGCCATCACATGACATAAGCTCTAAGCAACATGGATATAAAACAAGAGCAACTAGATCGATAATAGTATGATCAACTACTTTGCTTAACATCGGAAAAACATGATAATAAACATATTATTCATGATCCAACTTCAATATGGCAAGGACAAGCATAAACATTCTCAGATATCATAATATACAGCTATGAAAGTATAGAAGCCTATAAATCACATTGAACGAATCCAAAAATGAAAACACAAGGAAATTGTTTCCCAAACAGTTCATATGGGCCCCCGTATCCGTGCCTGATACTTTCTGTATCTGTGTTCGTGTCCGACACTCCTTGGACACTTCTCAAATATATAATTACATATTTTTAACCCATACTTAGTTCGTAAGTATGATTTTAAAGGGTCGTTTGGGTATCTAGCTCAAAAGACAAGCAATTTTTCAATTTAGTCTACTACATAAAAGAAACATAATAATATTATAGTGATTTAACTTCTCGTAATATGTGAATGAAAAACAATGTCGATCTCATATGAATTATTGATTTCAATATGTATATGTATAGCCGTGTCCCCGTATCCTATCTTTTACCAATTTGTCGTATTCCTATCCGCACACATGCCGTGTTGTGTCCGCATCCCCAGCCGTGCAACATAGGCATCGATGCTATGGTATATCAGAGTTGGCGTTCACCATTGCCACATCAGATTCATCCACTTAAAGTGGGATCCTTGTCAAAGCTGGTCAACACGAACCCCCGATCTAGCATTGACACCAACCTTTGAGCAGAGTCGAAGCTAAACACTGTAATTGAAAAACAGAAACAAGTTTAGTAAGGTTATGACTTGAGTTATACTCATAAGAAAGAAGGACAATAAAGAGAAAGGAAAAAAAAAGATGGTTTTGTATGGTACCGAAAAGAAAAAAACGAACAGGTTGTTGATTATGATTAAAGTTACGCTGCCAATGGAGATGTCACCTCCTGGATCATATGGGTTCCATACAGACAACTACATGTCAAAGTTAACAAGGTTTTGTGATTACTCAGTCCCAAAGGTGGTTTAATTGTCAGGCAAGGTGAAGATTGTTGATGTCATGACTTGAGTTTGACTAGTAAGCACTTTTGTTAAGAAGGGACATAAAAAGACCCAAGTCAAAAGGTGTGAGTTGAGTGAGATACTGGAAAGAAAGAAATGGAGAGGTGGTTAATTGTGAGTAAAACTAACTTCCAATAGAGGTTTCTCCTTTTGGATCATATGGGTTCCAGATAAATACTGCACATCAAAGTTAATTGGGGCTTTTGTGATTACAGTTCAGTTCCAGAGAGTCAAATTCTGCCGATTTGTTTCAAGTGGTCTCCTGAACATATCCATGATGGATGGTCTTCCTTCTGTTAGCGTATTTTGCTAGCAGTCCGATCTTCTAGTATGTGGTTTTCTTTTTATGTTTTTCGTCACCTTATGGTCCTCTCTTTCCTCAAGGCCACATTTTTTTTTGTTTTGCATTTAGTGCCCAGGCTATGGTGGCATAAAACTGCAATCACCCTGCCTTGTTATTATAAGGAAACCTTATAAGGGTATGAGGAAGCATGATAGGCTAAAATCAGTTATGAAAAAACATTTCTTTTAACTGTTCCTTTTTTTTCACCACTAACATGCATGCATAAGATTTTTTTCTCTCCCTCTTTGTTTACCTCTCTCTCTCTCAGTGTGATTGTGGTTTGGTGAGTGAGAAGGGAAAAAATTTTATCTTTTATGTGGCATATAAGATGCTTCATCTCAAACTTTGCTCTGATTGAGCTTCTATCTTCTTGCAGCAGCTGAAGTTGGCATTCAGAAGCTCAGACATGCACTGAAAGTACTATCTGAAACAGAAAAACAGCTGAGGACATCAAAAAATCAGGCAACCTGGCTTACTGTTGCACTTCTACAGTTTAATACAGGAGGTAAGAGGTAAACTTGTTAGCTACTATCCTGCAAATATCTAATCCTATTATGTTAGTTCTTATAGATTTAGTATGACTAGCACCATCTGTTGATCATTTAAATCATAAATACTTTGAGAGTTCTTGAGGATAGGTAAATAATTTGCTTTCTTTCTGACAAATGCAATTGGATGCAGATGATGGGGATTTAAGAGATTTAAGCATAAGCTCACAAAGGGATAGTTTGAAAAATAATGTTTGTGATGGGGATCAATGTGGCAAATTATGTTCAGTAGATCATTGCAATGGGATTGAACTAGAAACGGTTTGGAGAAGAGCTTTAAGGAAATGTCAATCAAAATCACTTAAAAGCTTTCTTCAGAAAGAGGGGAATTTGTCATCCATCCATGTCAATGAAGGTAAATCCAAACAGATACATGCACCTTACAGTTCTATGTTAAAATTCGTGACAAAATTTATCCATTTCTAGACTTGTCATTCCATAGCAGGAGGATAATCAGATAAAGGTAGATACTTTTTCTTCCAACCATAGTATCGGTACTATGGATGTAAATTTTCTGCGGCCCAAATGTTTTGTCATTATAATAAGCTCACAACAATAACTTTCTCTTGTTTATTATGGTGGTTTCTTGCTTATGCTATGTTTTTTCTGTATTAACAAACTGTAATAAGCAGAAACTTATTATAGATATCAGCATAAACATTGTTCTTATGTGTAACTTCAAATAATTACATTGATTAAAGAGAATGTGTGGCAAGTAAAATTATGCGACACTGAGCATGAAGGGTAAATTGCATGGGGTCCTGACAGCCAAGTTCAGCCCTACCACAACCCTGTTTATATCAGATTTTGATTGGAAACATGGATGCATATAAATTCTGGGGTTACCTTATTTAGGTAATTGTTTAATGTATTCTTCTTCTCTACAGCCTCTGATGGCTAGAGAGAGGAAGCAATGTGTTTGGAAATTCTTACTAATTTGAAATATGCATGTGGTAGTAAGAGATGGTAAATTGATTCTTAGAAAGGGACAATTAAAGTGAGATTAGCCCTGTTTCATTGATTGTAATTCTGGGAATTGGATAAAATTTGGAACTCTGATAATAGATGCTAAATCTAAACAATGACAGTGAGCATTCTTGGTTTTATGGCAATAAAAGTTCAATATTCACTGTGGAAACAGGGGTCAAATACTTGTCTTTATTTATTTATTTTTAAGTTATGCCATTTTTAATAATAATAAAATTTACTATAAAATAAGGAGTGTGTGAGCATGCTTTTTTATTCATTGTCACATGAAGTTAACAGAAGAACTATATATTAAAACATTTGACAAGAAAAGATAATTAATTATTCAACTATTCTATGGACTGTATTTAGGTGTGCTAAACTGTATCTGTATCCGTAAAAATATATGTAACTGTATCCTTTGCGGATATGACTACTAAAACCTATAACCGATAGGATATGGTTATGGTTCTTATGGATATGGTTTTGTAGTGAAATATTTGGATCCGTATTCGAAATATCCAAATGCATGTTGGTCATATTGTTACAATAGTTTTAATCCTTAGATTATGGATTTGAGGTTAATTTTGATGATCAATATGTTTACTCTTGGCTTTTTAGATATAATGAACATATTAATGTACTCTTTTAGTATCACATGAACTATATTTTTTTCAATATTATCTAGTTTACTCATATCCATTTAGTATCCGCATGTATATCTGTATCCGATTTTAGCAGATATGAATATGAATTTTCCTTAAGAGGTCTATTTGTATTCATATCTGTGATAGGTAAGCAGATATGGATATGATAAGTATCATATCCGAGTTGTATTCGTACCAAGGTTATTAGTAGCGGATAGCGTTGCGTAGTGGCGAGGCATCACTAAGGCTATTTGAGGCTATTGTGGCAAAACAACAGTAAAAGTGCAAAGTCAAATGGCGGTCTAATGATATGTATAAATATTCAAGAAAATAAAAAATTAAAGATAAATTAAAAAAATCTAAAAGTGCATATTTGATGATTTAAAGAGGTCCTAAACATGAAATAGACATGTAACCGTCACATAATATCGAAGACGACTGGAGGAGGAGCCAACATAATATCGACGACAATTGGAGGAGTCAGAGTCATCGTCTTTGAGAAAATGAGCTAAGCGGTGAGGGGACTGCAGTTGGAGGAGCTCACGGAGAGAGGAGCTGAGAGGAAGTGCCGAGGGAGGTGCCGAAGGCGGTAGGAGAGGTGGGAATATGTTAGAAATCACATAAGGCGGTGGAATGTAGTGGTTGCGGGTCGGTCTTAAATAGCGATCAAAAAGTGAATTTTCCCGCAATCACCCACTATTCACCGCTATGGCCCGTTATTGGCCGCTTTGGCGCACAAAAAGCGCATATTCCACAATACGTCACTGCTATTAGGCGATAACTATAGCCCGTTATTGGCCACTTTGGCGCACAAAAAACGCATATTCCACAACACGTCACTGCTATTAGGCGATAACGTAGCGGGAAGGGATCGTTAACACTATTAGCGCCGCTATTTACGGTTATTTATAACAGTGATCCGGACCAAATGTACCCCTAACTGTATTTCGATCAAATATATGAAACCAATATTAAAACATGGTGCTGAGAATGTTTAGGAGCATGAAACCTTGTTTAGTACAGGCTCTATTATTTTTGCTTTTAACTCATTTATGGGAACTTGGAACATTTTTAGGTAACATACCTCAATAAAATCAGAACAAGTAGAAGAATATTTTATTATTTAAAAAATTATGTTCCACCAAGAAGTTTTGAACCTTTGTTTTCTTTACAAATCGTTCTCGGTTTTGGGGGATCATGGCCAGTGCAGCAACGATTTATTTTGTTGCAACCTAGTCCAGGGATGCGAAGGTTTAGGAAGATCAGCTCCTTGCACCAAGAAGACGCATGCTAATATCATCAGAGTTAATTATAAGCGATTTTGAGCCATCTAGCCTGTAATATTTGGGCATGCAATATTTAAGAAGTGATAAAAACATTCTTGAGGTTGGAAAATTTTGGAAATATTATTGTGAAGTTTAGAAAATAAAGAAAAGAAATTTAAGATACTGTACCAGTTGTTTGAGATCTCTAGGATTTCCTCCTCAAGATTAGAATGCTTCTATGCAAAAAGTCACAATATAGAGGATCAAATGCGCAAGGAAAGGAATTTGAGTAATATCATAAACACAATATGCTAAGTTTCATACTAAGTTCTTGTCATTAAGAAGTTTTAGCTATTTTTAATAACTTCCCATGTTGACACTTTGAAAAAAAACATGTCTTAGTTAAGGCTTCCTTATTTTGTAAATAATCTTTTTTATATACATGATTTATGTTTTAAAAACAATTGGGGTCTGTAAGCATATTAATATGTTCTCGATGTTTCCTTTACTTCCTACTTAGGAATATTACACGATGCACTGTTTATACGCGGGATATTGGCATGATATAATTGGCGTATTTGCTTGCTTTCTTTCTTGCTTCCTTTCTTGCTTTCTTCCTTTCTGCTCTAGTTACTTGCTGTCATTTCTTTGCCACTGCTGTCATTTCCTTACCACCACAATCTTCTACATTGATTGGCCATAATCTAATATTGCTGAGATTAATATTTCATTTACTTTTCTGCAAGAATTTTCACTCAGTGTTCTAGATTGAATCTTCTTTGCTTGACTCATATTTTAAATATTAAATACTCCAGTAAATGGGTTGTATTTTAAAAAGATCGGCTTAAATTTGTGAAGCCTGTGTGACAGATGACTTTCTTTTAGTATTCAAGTTAAACAAATACCCACATCCGTGAATCAAACCAGGAAAAAGGTTAATGTTCTTTAGGTTATATAACCATTTCCTTAATATGATCCGCCTAAATCAGAAAATATGGTATTTTGTATTATTCATCCGAATGCTAAATCTTATCAGTTATTTATGTTCTAGAGTTGAAATCCAATAAATCCTTAACGATCCAGGTTTTAAATTTTGTGTTACCGTGTAGCTGATAAGGAGGTAATATTCACATGAGCCCTGTGTAGCTGATAAACACACCATTTTGAACCTTGCAAGCAATGGGTCAGATGCCTTACAACAACTGTGAAGAATGGTTATTAATAGCAATGTTGAAAATAATAGTAATGTATAACAGTAATGCTCAGTCTCTCCATAACTTTGAGTAACACATAACATGTTTTAATTTAAAGAAATATGAAAATGACCATAACTATGACTTCAAGTAACACAACATGTTTTAATTTAAAGAAATATGAAAATGACCATAACTATTTTAATAAATAAGCGCATGTTTTCAAAATATAAAATAATGTTTAAAATACAGGGTATTCTAATTTACTAATGAGTATGACAATAAAATGTTCAACATTTCAATTACAATTTTACATATCTCATTGATAATCCCACATTTATTCCATTCTTCAAAAATAATATGTTCACTATCACAAGCATAATGGTGTCAACAATATGAATCACAACAATGAAAGAAACCATCAAGGCTTAACAAACAATCCATGAGTAAATACTTGACTACTTTTAAGTCTTAAACGATAGAACTGTCCAGTCTCTAAGCAAGTTATATTGAAGTAACTCGTTATACTGAAATAGCGTTCGTTATACAGATATAGAATAATACTAAATTGTAAGATGATAGAGTTACGATGTGTTTGCATAATAACAAAATGTTATGAAAGATTAAGATTTGTCATGTTACACAACACGAAATAGCGCGTTACATAACATGTATTTTTAACACTGATTAACAACTTTTATTTTTTATTTTATTTTTATTTTTATTTTTTGGTAAAAGGTGGAAGTAATATGAAGGCATGCAAGAAAACATTGATAACATCATAACATGTGGAGCATTTGGTAATAATCAAAACACACGGGCTAATATGCTGAAACCCTTTAAAATGTGTAGTTTTGTCAGAGTTTCTGTTTGCTATGTCCTTATCCAAGTTATAATTCACCACATCAGCACATATAACTTTTGATCGTCCAGTCTGTGGTCTTAACTCTTCAATATTTTTCATATCCATGTGTCATGTGTTGATTATGGCTTGCATTCAAACAATCGGTCAAGGTAAGTTGACTCAGGTTGAAAGTTGACTTTGACTGGAAATACAAGTTGCAATCGGAGTTGGATCAATTCCAATTGAACAGGATTAGAACTAGAATAAATCCAATTAAAGTCCATTATGAGAAGGAATCCTACATGAGCTCAAACTGGGAGGAAAGGATCTTTAAATACCCATAGATAGATTCATTGTTAGATCAAGAAGATCATTTTACCAGGTCATCTGAACTCTGCACAAAAGATGATAGAAAAAAAATCTCCTTGTGAGAAATAAGATAACAAGGTACAGAGATTGTTATTCCTATGCAGCTCTCCACTACTTACATTAGAAAAACTCCTTTGTTGACATAACTACTTATTCTTTGTTGCAGTATTGTTTACCTTTGCGAGTTGCGACAAAGTGAATGGTTAATAAATTTCAAACTTCCTCAATAGCTTCCTACTATTATTGTACTAAAGCTAGAATGACAATATAATAGCAGGTGGGTTTAAACTATAATCGCCAGTAAGTGAAGGATCAGCATACTTGCAAAGGAGCAGATATAGGCATGCAGGATACTCTTACCTATAAGAAATAATCTCTTATTATTGAGACATGCCTTTTAAGCAGGGCATTCTGCGATTTCCATTAAAGCCTATATGACAATAAAGATATAAATATCAAAATGTGATGAAAGTATAGAAATGAATTATTCCATGCCAAAAGCGTTAAAATCCCTTTAATAAACAAATCAGAGCAACTACCAGTCTATCATTTTAGGGGGCTTTTAAATTTAAAATTCTTCTAGTGCAAAAAAGTAAAAAGAGGTTTATTTAGCAGGCAAGATTACTTTATATTCATTGTCTCTTTTTACCACAGTGGAAATGGTGATGTTTGGGGCACAGTATCCACTGTGGTTGAGTGACTTATACCTTAAGTTCCATTACCGAATGTTTGAGACTAGCATCTAAAGGCATCATGGCTAACATTGTTACCATTCATGCCATTTCTTGTACCTTGATGAGAAATATTTCGTATAAAGTTCTACTAACCATTTCGAAAGAACTTATGTAGTATAGTGTTTATCGGTCTATCACTTTCTTTTTGTTGCTCTTCCAACTTACTTAACATCTGATTTGATAAGTCAGCTTTCTTTTCTTTCCTATTTATATTCGTTAATGTTCAGGAATATTATGATTCAAATGCTTCCCAAATTACAGGTCTGGCAATTGCTGAAATAGAATTCTCTCATCCTGATCATGTATCAAGAGCTGAGAAGTCATGGAAGTTAATTGCAAGCTCACTTCAACCTGTCTTAGGATGTGATGTACAACTCAGACTAAAGCTTCTCCCCACCTATATAAGCAAGAGAACAAAAGTAAAGAAGTCATCTTTCAGTTTGTTGAGCTGTTCTGGTCGTAAGCAACAAATATCAGACTCAACTATGACGGATGAAGATGAGAGTGAAACCTCCTCAAGAGGAGAAACATTCACTGGATCGCAATCCTCTAATAACGGGCAGCAGTTGGATTCTAGACGAATGAAGGATGTTTACTTATTTAATGATAAGGAGACTGTTATTATCAGGAAAATTGAGGATGATACACGAAGCTATAAAACTTCTGTTACCCTACAAAATGAAACCAAATCGAAATCTGATCCCTTGCCGCGAGTAGATGATGAGGGTCGGTATGTTGATATCCAAGAATATGAAAGTCAGCCAAATTGTTTTTCGAAGACTCTAAAGCTCCGAAGAAGGTTGCTCTCAGCTGATGCTGCTAAGTCTATGTGTTTCAGGATCCAGCCAGAAACCAAACAGGAGCTAACTTATTTCGACACATATGACCCCTACGGTACATGCTCCCACTCAGATGTAAAACTCAACGACAACTGTGGAGAAGGGCATGTGTAAGTTTATATACAGTATGCTCATCTCCTTTGGAAATTCTACAGAACTTAGTCTTGCACTATATCAACTGAACCTAACTCATGATGTTCGAATTTTCTAGGACTATTGCACAATCACCTGATGAATCCTTCTTTTCTTTGCTTGTTATTTCTGGTAGGAGCAGGATTTCTGGTGGAAAAGAAAAACATTTTAACCATTTCCAAACATCATTCTGGGTCATCTCAAGTCTTTTTGTCTTCTACTTTGACCTCTCAAAAGGATTCTGAAATCCAAACTGCACCTTCACAAATATAAATCCAAACTTGGGGAAGGGAAAAAAAACCCCATAGGGGGTCCTCTATAGAAAATCATGTAGGGAGGAAGAGGATTGTGGCATGTCATCCAAAAAAAATATTGAAGTTGACGGTTGATAACCATCCAACTGTAAGTTTTTTGCTGGGACACGTGCAGTTCCAGATTTCGAACAAAAGACAGGTGATGTAATCTTCTTCCTCCCTTTATCATTTCTATAGGGCACTTTCTGTAGGATCCCCCCCCTCCAAACTATGCCTCTTCTTGCACTCATAATGTCTCCCCAATCATTTTAATAAACCACTTCCCTTTTCCCTTAAGGTGTTGTTTGGTTTGTGGATTGCAATTTGATGCATGCTACGGATGTAGAAAAAACCATAATTAAAATCTTATTTGTTTGCAATGAATAATAAATTGTATTTACGTGAGCCATAAATTCCAATTAGATTTTGTTTGGTTACACATGCTTTTTGTTAAAGGACATATGACTAAAATCACAAAATCGGGTGAAATCAGCATAATTTTAGGGAATCACATTTGATGCATCTATTGATAGGGAACAACATGAAGGCTTTGATCTAGAGGCAAGAAGTCGGTGACAGCTTAGTAGAATGGTGTTGTAATCCATCATGAACAATAAGAAAGTCACTGAGTTGAATAATGCAAGGGGAATTACTCACTCGTGAACAGTACTCCGCCATTTGTGGTTTTGGGTATTCTTTTGATATTTTTGAATGATGGTGATCTTTTGTTGAGAGGATAAATGGCTAAAATATTTGAGGAGTGAATTTTGGTTGAAGTATATTGCAATTGGAGGTCTAGGATAAAAAATGGCCTCACACCTGAGGGCATCACACCCCGACACTTCACATGTCATAATTTTAGCACATTACATGCTAACAAAAATTTCACATCTCAGGAAATTTTTCTTTTTATTAATCAGTCTAATTCCTCAAAGAGGACTACAATGTTATTTATAGAGAAAAACTAAATTTGGAAAGTAAATCAAACCATTACCAAATTCTAATAAAAAGAAAGCAAAGATAAAATCTCTAATAAAATATATCTCAAATGTGTCATTCGGCAATGGGTTAAGTGAGGGGTTAAGGAGATTTAACCTTCTTAACTCGGCACACACAAAAAATTTATACACAGGTTAAAGTGTGTTAACCCTCCATAATTTACCAAACGCAAAAGATGCAAAAGGTAAAGCTAACCCATCTAGAGGGATTAAAATGAGGGGTTTACTAATACTCTTATTTAAAAAGGTTAATATTTAACCCCTTTAATTATAAATAAAATAGTCGAAATCATTGTTATTCCTAAACACTAAAAATAATCACAATGGTTAAAATAAAACTTATATAATGGATTAATAATTTAGCCCCTCAAATTATCAAATTGGCTAACTGTGTTAATCCTTAACCTTTATCCCTCGTTATTAACTCTTTGCCAAACGAAGCTAAAGATTCTAATATCCTGAAATCTAATCCGAAGGAGATCTTTACCTAACATAGGAGATTACATCAAATATTATTAAAATAACAAAGATACCCGCAATATTTAAAACTCCTGATCAACGGCTAACGATCGTTCTACATCAAATCTCTCCTTGTTTGAGAAAACTCGATCTCGAGTTTTACAGTAGGAGAGTGTAATATGTAATTTATTCAGTGGAAAGTCTTTCTTCGAGCGTTGTAGGAGTTTTAAGAGAAGTACAACTCGATATTGAGTTTGCGGTGTAAGGCTGGGTTAACGAACTCAACAATCAAATTAATCTGGACTAGGAGTTTGCATTGCATATCGTCTTACATTCAACTTCTAGGCTTGACTCAATTTCAGGCTCTGGAGTTTATTCAAGCTTTGGATTTGAATCAACATTTGACTCAACTTCTAGTTCCAGCTTAAGTTCTAGCTCTCGTTCAAGTTCGAGTTTAGACTTGAAATTTGAATCTATTTTCTGATGTGGTTCAACTTTTAGCTCGAGCACAAATTGCGTCTCTCATTCTGAGTTACACTCTAAATTAGTAATTTGCTCTGATTTTTCTTCTAGCTCAATCTTTGGCTCTGAGTTGATCTTCCGATTTTGTTCTTATTTTAGTTCATGCTCCAATTGTTGCTTAGTCTCCAACTTTTATTCTAGTTTTAGATTTTGGTTGAACTCAAGGTCTGACTTTGAGTCTACATCTGGACTAGGATTGTTAGGAGTTTGCACTGCATCGAATATTACTAAAATGAAAAAGATACTAGTAAATCTGTAAATTTCTTGATTGACAGCTAACGATCGTCCTACATCATCTATCCTACGTGGTAACCCCAAATTCGTGACATTGAAAAACGACAAACAACAATTTATTTGGTAAAAATATTGGATTTTAAGGTTGTATGTCCCATTTTTCAATACAAAACTAACCTAATGCATGGAAACAAACGACCCCTAAGATTTATTTATGCCCCTTTGTTTTAGGTAAAATTTTAATCTATTTTGTCATCAACATATAATCCCTCTCCCCGCGTCTTTTACCCCCATCTCGCCCCAAATTTGATCCATTATTTTTTTTTCAATTTTTTTTCTAAATAATCTGCTCTGCTATCATAAGTTTTCAACACACTTGTGAAACAGCTGGTTTTATCCTATTGGTAATATACTACCTCATATACTGTTAAAATGCCCAGTCAATATTTCTTGATTGTTTGATGGCAAGCACTTGGTCATAACGAATGAGTAAATAACTTCTTCAGGAAAAGATATAATGTTAGTAGCTAACTGAGTAGAGTTTTGCGAGTATTCAAATTTTATTTTTACTTTCAGCATCAATTATCCTAAAATTTCCCTGATTATGAATATCAAATGACTTTTAGTCCATGTTTATTTTTGACTTTTATCCCCTGAGTATGCAAATATTGTTAACTACATACTTCTTGTTAACAAGGTCCTAAAATTTTTGTTTGTTTGCTATAAATATTAAAGTCAGCAAATATTGTCTAACTGCTTACTTTTATTGTTATGATGCGAAGTTAATTGAACGAATCATTGATTCCATATTTTGTTGAGGTGAGCCTTACCACTTTTGTAACATAACAAGAGGTGTAGTCTGTCACACCCTGGGCTCGTGAGCCCGTTAACGCGATATAAACTGTAGTTAAAGCTACTCATTGTTTGGCTAAATGCACTGCCAAAAGTGCTAGCACTTGGTCTTGAGTTCTTTGGATTATTTTATAAACACTTCAAATTTCCTATCATCTTTCAATGTGAGATTATTCTTTTCGGCTATTACAATCACTCCACCTTACAAAGGCAATGTCATCGTCGCAATATGCCAGTTGACACGTCCCAGTATCACCGTTAGACGATGTGAGCTCTAGAGGTGGCTCCCACAGTGCTCACGCAGTATAGCACTTAGCGCTACACTTCCGACTGGTTGACTGCTTTGATATCATTTGTCACGACATAGGCCCGCGAGCCTGTTGGTTCGATATAAGCCGTGGGACTCACTAAGAGCTACTTGTTGTTTGTCTAAATCCATTGCCAAGAAGTGCTAGCACTTGTTGCTATTGAGTCCTTTGGATTATTTTATAAACACTTCAAATTCCCCATCATCTTCTGATGTGGGACTATTCTTTTTGGGGTATTACATAGTCACTGTCGAAGGTAGGTCAAGCAATGGATTATTAGTTGTCTGTACTTTAGAACATTCATGTTTCCAACCTATGTTCAGGGCCCTAGATCCAAGTTTATGTCACCAATTTAAAGAGTTTTTTTTTTTTGGATTTTCTTACGCCATGGTCTTGAATGAACATTGATACTTTCATGATCTCTACTCTACAAGTGATATTAATTTTTTTTCCTTCAAATATTTGTGAAATACTAAGAGTTATTTCATTTGATTATAGAAATTGATTCTGTATTGGTATTTATATTTTTATAAAATGTTGTTTCTTTCTAATGATTATGTAAAGATCCATAATTGAAATATTTGGCCAAATTTGATAAAAGAATTATTCATTGAAAGAGTGCGTTAGAGAGACTGGGTACTTTGTCTCACAACGCGTGCAAAATCTTGACTAAAATGCAAGGAGAATCAAGGTAACATTGATATGTATGTAGTAAAAAAAAGGAATAAGGGATGTAGCATACAAATGAATATTTGATAATCAATCGAATTGAGTTGGAACAAATAGTTAGACGAATAATTACCCAGCTAGTGGTAATTATTCGATCCAATTCCAACCCTGAAATGCATTAACATCAAAATATTAAAACCACAAGATGAACAGTGAGTTTGTGATTATTTTTGTTTTCCAGATGCATTGTATTTATATAACTTGTTCAGGTTCTAATGAAAGATAAGGTTGGCCACAGAACTAACACTTACATGTGCGCAAGGGCGGAGCCAAGTGTACTTGAGGTAGGGCATGTGCCCTACCTAAAAATTTTCAAATCCTTTAACAGTACTTGAGTTAGCTATCAAAGGTTAATGGCTGACTAATTGTGCCTTACTTGGATATGTTACTTTCTTTTGAAAGGAAAAGGGCACTATACTAAGTTATTAAAACAATAAAAAAATGACCATTGTCTATAGAAGTTTTAAGAATAAATACGTAGGTAATAATTTTTACTTAAAATTCTTCTATTTTGTTTTAGTTTTAAGAATAAATACAAATTAACTATTTTTGTTTTAAATTCTTCTATTTATAGACAATTAAATATTTAAGTGTTTCTGTTTTAAGTGATAAAATCTAATTTAATAGAAAAGTTATATAATTGTGCCCTACCATAGTATCCTGGCTCCGCCTCTGACGTACGTGACTGTTCATATGTTTTTATGGTTTTACTAAATGTTCACAACACACACGCCGCGCGCACACAATCTTTTTCATTGCCATGTTTCTATACATGTCCTAGTTTTGCAAAATTTGTCGCAGTGTCGTCTCTTGTTGTACCCAGTGTCGTCTCTTGTTGTACCCATACACAAGTATGTAACTAAGAAATCTACATGCAACTATAATAAAGCACATTACATCATCCGAATTGATGATTCAAACTATTCATTATGATTTAAACATTCTAAAATTCATGACAGCTCAAATATCACGTGTTTTTTTTTTCACTTTTTCATTTTTTTTTGTTCTGTTTGCAGACCAAGAAAGGATTCAAAGTTTAGTTCAAAGTTACTTTGTTGGAGGCCTCCCAGGTCTTCCCCTAGACAGGTATATCATTCCGCATCTTTTTCCTTTTAATAGATTCCTATAATTAGCACGGAAACAGAAATGATGGTGTCACTATTGTTAACTGGCATCGGAGCTGCATCTTGAGAACAATTCATAACAAAGATAACATAAGTAACTAATGCTAAAACCTTATTGAGAACAACAAAAATCAAGAAAAGTAAATGATATACTATGTAAAAAATTATGATCTTAAGCCGGGAGCTAAAGCATCCCAAAGGCAATATAACAAGGAGTTGGTTTAAGCTGGTTTTTAGCATGCATGCTTTTTGCAACAATGCATGAAAGTGATGCCTACTTTATCTGTAATCTTTGAAAACACAAGAAGTGATGCCTACTTTAGCATGCATGCTTTTTGCAACAATGCATGAAAGCTACACAGAATTTCTGCATGATAATGGTATTTTTTTTTCAAATGCTCCTAATAAATCATCCACTATGTAGCTTCAATTTTTCAGAAAGTCTCTTTCAGGTTGTTTCTCCTCAAGTAAGACAATTAGCAAGAGTTAAACCGTGCAATCAGATGAACTCAAATTTGACATGAAGCATTTAAATGTTCATTTTTTATCCACCTGTATAGCACTGTACTATCATTCAGCTGATATTCTCCTCTAAAATTTTCTTCGTCGGTTGTTTCACCACACCTGAACGTTTTCTAAAAATCACGAGTTAAATTTGTTATGGCTGATATGTCCTGCACCTGGTTCAAAATGCATTACTTCATGTGTCTTTTCTGAGTAATGCACTTCTTCTTTTTTGTATTTTCATCTTTAATCTACTATCTTTGAAGATGTATTTTCTTCTAGCTCGTGTGTTAATCAGTTTTCTATCAAATTCCAGGTATTGTATTGTAGACCAGCATCGTGATGTTTCCATAGCCGATGCCAACCTTTGGAAATGGAAAATTATCATTGGAGATATTGTAAGCATCTCTTCTACTATAAAGGATATGTTTTTATGCACCTCTTCCTCTTTTGCAGATTACCGACTGTTTTCAACAAACGTGGTGACTGATCTATTTATGACTGAATAAGTGTTACCATTAGTATTAAGTTTATAGAAGTGTGGATATTCACAACTTTTTTCTTTCCTTTTTCACAGGACTGCTTCACATTTGTGCGATTTCCAATTCAGACAGAGGATTCGTTCAGACATGCCAATTTCTTATTGAATAACATATCCAAGTGATCTTTTTGTATATTCTCTAGTGTCTTAATTTTCCTTTTATTCTTCCCAGATCTCTGAACTATTCCTTCTGTTTTCTAATTGCAAAAGAGAATTTTGTTTCCTGTTTAACTCAGCCAATTTTGTATGGTACTTGAATGGCATTTTGCTCTGAGAAACAGGTTTTCCGTATCTAATGGTAGTATTTTATTGTTTGGAGCATTTATTTTCCGCATAAAGGCCGTGGAAATTTTTTGCATAAAGACTTTTTTTATACTTAAATAAGTTCTTCAGAAGACTGATCCCTGCTTATTGCATGAGCAAGCTGTTATGCATGTCGAGTCTTTTTGTTTGTCATGCCAAAGGTTAAAGGATATTCAATAACAATTTACAATAAAAATTGAGAATAGTTTGTAATGGTGGATTAAGTTTATTC